TAGCGGAAGCTAAAACCATGGGTTCCTTTAAATCAGAGCTAGATAAGATTTTAACAACTCTGAGCTATTAGTTAAGTTCTCCCCAAACGAGCTTGATGGGCCGAATGGCCTCCTCTCGTTTGTAAATTTCTTATGTTCTTATGACACATTGGGAGAGAGTGAAAACCCGGCTAGAACTCTGGGGACTGGATGCCCTGGATGGATTGTGAGGGCAGGCTATAAATACACATGGAACAAACTAAGTTAAGATTAATACATCTACAGAATCAAGAATTATAGACCAATAATGTTCATAAACCCGTTCATCAAATATATATATACAAATATATATTTAAAAAATTGTGGTGAAGACCTGTGGTTCTCAGTCTGGTTCCTAGAGGCCTCTCTCATTCCACTCCAGTCCACCTTGCTTTCAGCCTGCCACATTCATTATTAGTCTACTAAGGACCCTCTCAGTCTGATTAAGGTAGGGTTGTCGGGGGGGTCACAGGATAGAGACCCACTGATGAAGCCTACAGCATGGAGGGTTTATTCTCAATAATCAGAAATATCACCAGTAATTGGTGCGCTTGAGTTACAGATGCAGTTAGGATCTTCAAACTAAGTTTCTGTCACAACCTTAAAGCTTCGGTAACAGTGGAAGAGGTGGACTGGTCCAGGTCTCAAAAGGTTACAGGCAGAGGTGGGAAAGTACAAATCCAGACCATTTTGTTTCTAGCTGAGTTCTCTGTAAATGGGACTCTTTATGCTCAGCTGGCTGGTTAAAACAAAATTTTGTTCTGGATTTCTACTTTCTGAACCTGAACTTTCTACCTCTGGTTACAGGTAGAGTGACCAGAGAGGACACTTTGAGCTGTTTCAGTTTTTACAAGCTTCTTTAAAAATTCTTCTTCTGCTTTTACTGGTTTGTTTCCTTGATTGAAAGAGTCATCCAGCTGTTTCACACTAACATTATTGACACATCCATGATTATAGGAGACTGACCAATCAGCACACAGCAAAAACTTGGTGCTTAAGTGACATCCAGGTCTTTTAAATTGAAATGTTAGTTTACAAACCCTGTCCTACCTCATAATGTCCCCCCTGACATGGATGACCTGGTGCCTGTTTCATGACGCAGGATTTCTTACTTAGCCAGATAACTTGTTGGATTTAAGGTAGTCTGGGCTAAATGTAGATGAATGAAGATAAACTCCAATTAGCCCAGACTACCTTAAATCCAACAAGTTATCCGGCTAACAAGAAATCCTGCTTTGTGAAAAAGGAACTAGCATGGGTTTGTGATTGGGTGATTTATTTGTCTGGGGTCAGTATTAAAAAGGAAATTAGGGCAGCATGAAAATGCCCACGAATCATTAGTGTTGGTAGTACAAGCAGACAGAAGCATTTGTGTGCCTGTGAACTGAGTCTAACTCAGAGTAGCTTTTGGGATACATGCTGTATTCTGTAGATGCTTGATGGTGTGTAGTCATTCTCAGAATATATGAAGTTTTACCATTTTTTTGGGGAGAAATAAAAATATATGTATATTCTGACAAAGACAATCTTGGAAAAACATACGGCCGGGTGCTGTCTCTTGAAAACAAACACCTTTTTTTTGAATTTCATCTTCTTTTCTTGAATAAACCAAATTAGCACATTTTGTTTGTTATCAGCTTGTGTTGGCTTCTGGGGGGGGGTGTTAGAAATGATTACTGAAACCATCTGCATGTATGTGTGTATAAGAGACTGACAGGAGAATTTCTCCTTCTGTGTTTGATACTTACCACAGTCTGCTGTCGTGAAGTGTGGGAGATGCTTCAGCTATCGGTGTTTATCGATGCCTTCTGCCCATCTCATGCTATGTAAAGGCAAATCTGTTCACAGTGCAGACGTTGTACTTGTACCTGACTTTCAGTGCGGTCTGCTGTGGAGTGTGCATGCTTGACGCCGGCAGGAATAGACGACAGTCTGTATAAAGTTATATCTTAGCTGCACCTCCATCAATGTCAAATCTCAAATTCTTCTGAGGATACGTAAAGGTCTTTGAAAACTTTATTAATAAGTACGATATTGTATGTATAAGACCCATATACTTGTCTCAGTGATTTAATATGTTATTCACTTTGTTCGTTTTTTATTTGATATGCAAGGATTGTATTTGGTTTGGGTGTTGATGGCCACTAGGTGGCACCATTGCCTTCTAGGTAATACATTCCTTACTGGGCCTATATTGGTGTTTTAAGTGGTCCATCAAGATGAACGGGAACCAAGCACCAAGGAGCCATTGACGACTGAAAACGTTTATTCATAGATGCTCACTAGAGGGAAACAATCCTCGTAAAAAGCATCTTCCTGATATCACACCTGTTCACTGGCAGTGAAGAATAAGGCAAAGGGCATAAGATCATGTTTTTACACAATTGTGCATCGACAGGAAAACAGTTATACATTCACTTGATACAGTGTACATCTGAATATATCTCTATTGTATACATATACCCACACGTAGCACCCAAAGATCAGATGGGTAGAGGGGGCTATTCTATAGGTCTTCTCCAAAGTTACAGTCACGTTCACTTTATTCTGTACCATTGACTCAGAGCGAATACCAACAAGGGATCAAAATACTAAAGCCATCAGAACAACATATTACGGGCAACCAATAAAGGGCTATAAATATGGTCTACAGCGCTTTTACGGGAAACCCATAACGAACTATAAATATGGTCTACACCGCTTATCCTTTATTATATGATAATTTAACGTATTCTTCATGTCAAAGAATAAATTTCATACTCTCTGTCTTTCCTTGGATCAGACACCTTGGAGGAGAGAGAGATCGTACCAGAAGATTCAGTGCTGGGCCCGTCTGACTAGGTTGAACAGACTGTTGGTCGCCCCATTGTCTTCAGAGGGTGTCAGCTTCGCAAATCTGTTGCAGTGCTACAAGTAGACAACCAATCATGAGTCTGTGTGTCTTCATGCAACAAGCAATGGTGTCCAGGCAATACTTCCATGATTCTGAAGATCTACTGGGACGGAATACTGTGGGCGTTGTTTGGAAAATTTGCCTAGGATTTCTGGTTTATGAAGCACGCCGCCGATGTCTTCAGCAGGTGCTGTAGAAGAGCCAGAGTTAATGAGAAGCAACATGAGTGTCAATCAGCTGATGACAAGATGCAACCAGCAGGGAACAGGAAGTGCTCAACAGGAAGTGACAACACAGCTTACCACCCAGTCTTCTCACACAGTACATGTGGCTGAAATTCTCATTGCCAGTGAGTTACCCATCTCTCTCCCCAGTAAAGGACCCAGGCAAACACACGATGGCCCAACTCAACTTTATCGTCACTGCTCAATAACCAGCACATCCTGAAACCAAGGCTGACTTTCCAAAATTAGGTGTGCAGTGACATCTAGCCAGTTTAAATTAGCCAATTATATGTTGCACAAATAAGCAATGAATATCCAGCATACAGACACACACATACACAAAATTTGATTATACCTCGTGTACAAATATATATATAAAAATAGATATGCCTTTTAATATTGTACCTTCTATACCTTTTACATTTAAAATACTGGATTTGTGATGCTGGCACTCTTGGAGATAGACTTGGATGGTGTTTCTTCTGACTGTTAAGTGTAGCATGGAGATACAGGAACCAGCCTGCTATGCGGTATGTAAGATGCCTGCTCCAATAATCTAGTCCATTGGCTGCGTCCTTCCTGTCACCAGAGATTGCCAGCAGGTGGCGCCGTGAGCTCAGCTCCAGCAGCACATGAGAGTTAAGTAGCAAATGTCAGACAGCGTAGACAAAGCCTAAGGCATAGCACTCCTTTTCTTGGTATGTCTGCAACTTTAACTTTTTGCAGAAGATTTTTTTCCCCAGAAATAGTAGCAGTCATACTTGTTTCTTACTTGTGCTTGAATGTTAATTAGTATTATGTAATACACAACAATAAGGATTGCAAAAAGGTTTATCTTCGTCGAGAAATGATGCAGGAATTCCCAAGCAGCATTAAGATTCTTTAAGCAGATTCAGATTGGAGAAAGTGTTTTTTCCCCCAATATCAGCACAAAGCAGAAATGGTGAATTCAGTCAATATCAAACTGATCTCAGTACAGGTCTTTGAAGGGTTTGGAGTAGTTGAACATAAGGTAGTCCATGTAGTAGAAGTCGTAGGCCCTCTGCCTCTCTGATGCATTGAGCTTTGTGAAGTACTGCTGTGTGATATGGGCGGAGGTCCTCTCTGCGTTGGGGTTTCTGTCCTTGAAGCTGGGGAATGTGAGGTTGGGTGGGGCGCCCAACCTGCTAAGGAGGAAGTTGGCGTCCTCTTCGATGGTCTCGAATTTGCCGATGAAGTCGTAATCCAGAAGGCAGGGGCTGCAGAGGCGGCCCACGGGCTCCCAGTGGATGTCCATGCCCACGGGCCGGTGCACGTCCAGGAGGTACTGCACAAACTCCTTGAAGGTCACGCCGGTGCCAGTTTTCAGGGCCTCCTTCGAGGCATTGGCTCGGTACCTGGAGATAATGGGACGGCCAAACACCGGATGGTAGTAGGTGTTGGGGTTCTCAAACTTATCCCGGAAGGCTGACACCAGCCGCTCCAGCGGCTCTCTGACGAAGAGCACTTTGGTGTAGGTCTCCAGGCGCTGGGCGATGCCCCGATGATCGAAGCTGTCCAGCCGCCGTAGGTGGTTGCCGTAGTGCACAGCGTCATGCTGGATCTCCTGTGTGGATGGGGCAAGGCCTTGCAGAACCATGAGGACCCTCTTCCAGTTGGAACAGCCTACCTTGGGCACCTCACAGTACAGCAGCTTGTGTCGGTCCTCAACGTAGATGCGGGACACGTGCTGGGGCGTGATGGTCCGTGCGCTGCGCCCCCTGTAGCGACCGCAGACATGCCGCATCAGGTCTTTGCGGGACTCCTGGACCTGCAGAAGGCGTCCCCAGTTTCCGCGGGCGACCTCCTGCGGAGCACTCTTCAGCAGCAACTTCCGGTGACCCTTGGTGACCCGGGCTGAGCTGAGGTCCAGACCTTGTGCGGAGGAGGGACTGCGTGAGTGCTCGCTGTTGGACCTTTGGTCTGGACCTGGCTCTCTCCTTAGCTCGTCTCTGTGATCTGCACACAAGTCCTGGAACACAGAGCCAGACAGATAGGCTTGTATGTAACAGACCAACCAAAGTGGTATCTTTATTTGAGCAATTTTAGCAAGCATTAGCAAGATAATACTCACAGTCTGTGATTTATTAAATATTAAAATCAGGGCTGTCAAAATTAACATTTTAATCGTTGCAATTAAAACATTGAACCCGTTAAAATAAATTAACGCACTGTGTTTTGTTTACTTCCTGTGCGTGGGTTAACCTATAACACGGATGCGGCGAAACTCATCACAGCCAGAGACAATAGAGCTTGGCAACTGATGTCATTGCGCGGTGCATTTTGGGGCAACACATGTCATTGTGCAGTGCATTATGGGGCAATCAACATCATTACGTAGTGTATTATGGGCAACAGGTCATTGCGTAGTGCATTATGTGGTAGAACCACCATATTGTGTAGCCACCAACCAAAATAAACCGACAGACTTGTCTCAGTGCTACTGATTGTACTGTGTGCTGTTTCTAAGCATTTTTAAAATTTGTCAGAAAGAAAAGGGATTGTATAAAGAAAAACTCCTACCAGAAGCAAAGAAACACTATAAAAACACAATAAAAAAAGTCTAAATTATCGGAAGCGTGCATTCCCAAAAAAGGGATGGATTTGTGACCCCAAAGCTTTACCTCCCCTGATATTTTTAGCTATCTTGTATGTGGCCTGAGCATCTGCCCATTTTGCCCAAACTATTTACTGCGAATGTGTGTGAGTTGCACCTGCACAACCCTGATCATACAAATCTATGTGTTTCGAACAGGAGGGTCGCTACAGATTTCGGGCCCCATGTAAGCATATTATATTCGGCCTGTTACAAATTTTTAGGGCCTCTTTCACCCATTTCGAGGGCCCTGGTTTTCAAACCAGTGGTACAGGATCATATATTGCTGTCATACTCCAACTTGCCACCAGATGGCAATGTTGGCCTACGTTTATCCATATATACGCGAACCAAATCTCTCTGCGACAGATGTAGTCTTTACATTTACTGAAATTTATTCAAGTCTTTATTCTGAATACCATGTAAGATGCCTTTGGTAACAGTATGTATGCTTTCTCATTATTGAAAGCTGTTAAAGTGTGTGATAAGATTAAAGAATGGAAAACAATTATACAGCATATCAACGGGCTTATTATTCAGCATGTTGATTGCGGAGAGTTTAATACCGGCTCCTTTCCGCTGTGTCTGAACCCTGTACATATATTGAATTTCTGGGAGGGGGGGCCGTAGGCTTCAGTTTCCATATTAGACGGCCGCCCCATGATTAAAAAAGAGACTAAGTCTTTTATCTTTATGGATCAGCAGGGCCAGGATGAGAGGAAACAGAGGTCAGACAGAGGTCAGACAGAGGTCTGCACGTTACAGTCTGCATCCTGCCTCCCCCGCAAAGGCCGTGCCGCAAGTACACAAACTGACAAGCGAAGCTTTCGATCAAGTATTGAAAAGTCCATTGTAGGGGGTCCACTTATTTCCACTGGAAGTTTTTATTTGCTGTGCCGGATGAAAGCACTGATTGAAAGAAGAGTGGGGTGTGGGGTGTGGGGGTAGTGGGGTGTGGGGGCAGTGGGGTGTAGGGGTAGTGGGGTGTGGGGGCAGTGGAAAGAGATCTTTTGATTAGCATTTTGACAGAATTGCAAGCCCTGGTACTTCATTATGTGGAGGTTTAATGAAACACTACTGCATTCACCAACAGCCACACCTCCCCCAGTACAACTCCAGCATCTACGGGCAGAAACGGCGCCCACCTTCCTGGACACCTCTTTGGGACTCAGCTTCACACCTGCAAAAGAGAGAGAGAGAGAGAGATGGTTCTGCTCAGCGCGCATATGCATGGAATGAACTGCCCTGATCAGTTTCGCGATCTCGTCGAAATCTGTAGGTGTGGTAATTAATAATTAATAATTATTAATAACTGAATTGGATTATTTCCTGATATCACGGTCATGATATTGACTGAAGGTCTGGATCATCCCTGACCTGCTGATGCTGCTGGCCCAGTCCATTGACTGAGGAACCCCCTCTAGGCATTCTTCGAAAGATCAGAGCGGGTGATTGTCTGTATCTGGAGCCCTTCTGTGCCAGGCTTGATTATTTACACTGGGCTGGATGTCTGCACGCAGTATCCTGGTGAGTTTGGCACCTTCGCAGCTTTGGAAGCTGAAGACGCCGCAGTTCTTTCTTCTAGGTGTCAGCGTGGCACATCCCAGCCCACCCTCAGCCAATAGGCCAGGGCAGACATCCATCTCCCTCAGCTGTTTCCCCTTGAAACTAATCGGTCGCCTTATTTGACAAATGGCCACTGCAGCGAAGGGAACTGGCCTTTTGCTGTGTTTCTGGGCATTTTGCCATAAACACTCAGAGAAGGCCACCGGGGCAGATGCACTGGGTAAGGAAATGTCCCCACAAGATAGGAACACACCAGCCTCTGAGCCTATGGGGTGTCAGCCAAACAGCTGTCGAACAATCAAACCAATCAGCTAGTGAGTTGTTTTACTCCTTTAAATACTGAATCAGATATTGCTAATTTTAACTTCTCCTTCTAACAATAGCTGGTTCAGTTGCATTCTTTAGAGTTAATTGAATAAAATTTGCTCATATTTGTCCTCAAAACAATGCAAGAGTGTTTATCATGAAAGAATGAGTCATGATTCGGGAAATCCATTTGATGTGCACTATTATAGCATTCCTGTTTGCAGCATATAAATGCCAGTCTTTTGATGTGTTTAATTTGTGTTTGTAGTGGCACTCCTGTCCCTATAAATAGGAAATGGTCCCTGAGCTACAGCCTTCAAGTCCACGAAAAGGCAGGATGCAGCACTTGTCAGAAATGGAGTGATGAAATTGTCCATGTCAGGATAGATAGATACTGTAGATAGATAGATAGATAGATAGATAGATAGATAGATAGATAGATAGATAGATAGATAGATAGATAGATAGATAGATAGATAGATAGATGCTTTATTGTCATTCTAAGTACAATGAGATTTAGTCTGGAACACGTCGGCAGATGCACAGTATATTTACAATGAAATAGATTCTGAGGCATAAATAGAATCGGAGAATGAGGTATGTACAGACACTATATATGTACACAATCAGGAGGCCCCCAAATGCCCAGCATGTAGGGGAAATAAAGCCAGACTAACAGAAATATCTCTCCTGTATCACCTCTGCTCTTATTAACCCCTTGCTTCACTGACCTCTAACCCCTTTTCATTTCATTCAGAAACCCTGGATGACATCTGTAGGCAGGTCTGGCCCTAGTGCCGCATTACAGCCCTGAGCAGCAGTGTCAGAGCTGAAGACCCCGCTTAGTGGGACAAAGGGGCTTCATGAAAGAGAAATGTCTACTGACAGAGAATAACAGTACTGATGCCTGCTGCTCACAGCCCTGAGAGACCAGAATACAGGGAAGGGCCCGGATAACCTGGTACTAGAATCAGAACAGACTGTAAAAACCAAGACCAAACCTCCACGGGACCAGCTACAGCTACGTCAGGGGACTTTCGTCAACGTAACCTCTCTCTCACGGGGGACACCAGTGACCTACAAAAGCTCAGTAATAAATAGGCAGATTTATTTCCAATGAAACTGAAAAAGTGTCCCCCCTCCTCAAGGTTAAATGGAAATCAAGGTTATTACTCCCCTGAGAGCACAAACATGGTCTCTGCCGTCATGGCATACAAAAATTAAACCACGTATGCATTCTTTAATAAAGTTTGGCTTGAGTGACCTTAAATGTCAGTAACAGAGTTGGACAGAGTCATAAATTGTGTGAACTTTCAACAATGTCCTGATGACCTGTACAGTGATGCAGCTTGATATGGAAATCCATGCAGGTGGGAGGATAATAGGAACTTCAAGAGGTAAAGAGAAGCAGGAGAGAGACGTGCAGTTTGACCAGTTTGGACTTGGCACCAGTTGCTCGTTGCCAGAACTCCCTTGGGACCTGAATGATGCAAATCTGTCATCCTAACAGGTTGAACGTCTGTTTCCAAATCATTCAATGGTTGGTCAGAGTAACTGTTGACAAGGAAATACTTTTTGCTGGCATTCCCATTTCCCTTGGGGGGGGGAGGGGGAGCTACCAGTGCCACTTATGTACAGGGGACACCTGCTGTGACTGTGCCAAAATCGAAATAACAAAGGCACTTAACAAGTGGCTCGGAGTTTCTCTTGGTGTGTCAAGTGCCCTGTCTCCGTTGAGGAAGTGCGACAGGAAGCCCTTGGAACTGGACCACGGGAATTCATTTCATGCTGACAAAGGCCGGCCAGATGGCCTCACAGCGGTTCCGACCTGACCCGGACGGCCTCGTGATTTCCATCTGGCTGTAAGGTCATAGAACTCACAAAAATCACGAGAGTTCTGTGACTCCTCGGACGTTCCTTGGAAAACATCGCCATGGCAACGCCATGCTGGTAGGAGCGGCTGGCGGGGCAGTGATGACTTGCGAATCGGGGGGGGGGGGGACCCATGAGACTGCGAAGGCACAGAGCTGTAAACAAATATACCCGACAGCTGCTATCTGTAGAGTAACTGAATTATGGGTTCCAGAACCACGTGATACGGAAGAGCCCAATTGGAAAATGGCTCGTTAAAATACACAGGCAGTCTCGCTTGACTGATGGCTCGCTGCAGTGTTTTGGGAACTATTGTCATCCTGGTGCATGTGTTATAAAAGAGGAAGAGACACAAACTTTGCAGGCTTCTGAACTCTGATATATGATAAGGGGCTACTGGCAATCCATACAGCAGGAAGTGCCTCGGGAGGAAAAGGTCCTGTCACTTTCCGCACTGAAGCAACTGCCTCAGGCCTCAGAGCCTCGGGATTCATATATTAACTATGCTAGTTGGTTGACAGGCACTGGTTGTGTCCTGTACAGTGTTTACCTCAAAGTTTTCACCATTTTATCAGAAGAAAGCATTTAAGAAGAAATGATATGAAGTTAAAATTAAGAGCGAATGGGTGGGCATCTGCTCTATCATCAGTGATGTTGGGAAGGTCAGCCTCGCGGCTTCGGTGGGAGTGTATGTGCTGTTCTCCAGTGTTGGGTGGGGGCCTCTGAAGTCTGCACGGCCGAGGTGCGCGGTCGGAACTGGGGAGCGGGCCGGCCTGAGTTCACTCCAGCAGCGCCACGCCATTACACCTCAAGGACTCTGCAAGGTGGAATGGATTAAATACGAAGCCTGACTCACCGACTCCGTCAGGGCAGACGGCACAAGAACTGCATTACACCTTGACACTGACCTACATAAGGAAGTTACTGCCATCGATTACAAGCCGAGTCCCAGAGGCTGCTTTTGATAAATTCTGAAAGTGACAGATATGACACAGGGCGTAAAACGAATGCATTCAGGCCAAGTGTTTCCTGACGAAAGACCTGGAACATTTAAGGTCACTCAAGCCAAACTTTTGTTAGGCAGGAGAAACAATTGTTGGAATGTATCCTGCCTCGATGGCCGTTTCTTATGAAGCCAGCTATGTGTCCTCTTCTAGCGGCTACGAAAACCTAACTAACCTATGTAACTAACATCCTGAAATAGCTCTCGATGGCCTTCTGTCATAACTGTTGCCCTACCTTATTCACACAAGGTGTCCCACCCACTCCTTGAACATTCATTGAACCTTGAACATGATTGGAAGTGGAAATTAAGTCACTCCACTGTGAGTTTAGCTGCAGAGGAATAAAACCTACTGCACTGTAAGCTCTAGCAGCAAGGGTGCACATGACAGAGGCAACTTTATGGTGCAACTGGGAAAAAGTTTCTGTCAGGTGTGGAGATGCCGCTTCGGAGACGATTTAAGAGCATCTAAGAGAGAAATCCTGAGTCAAATTTTCATGCTCACTGCTGGACTTCAGCAGAAACTGACTGTGCAGAGATGGAAACCAGCCAAGGACTGCATACGTGTGTAATGACCTTTATTCAGAGGAAACAGTTGAACACGACTCAAACATGACCGATTCTCTGTGTTAAGAAGCCCACTGAAGTGGACCGCCAGAGTTTATTTACTGTTGACAAAAGTCAGCCAGATGGCATCACAGTAGTTGCAGCCCCACCGTGAAGTCTGCTCTGTGACTGCTGGGCCAAACTCCTCTCTCCTCACTCTCTCTCTTTTCCTTCACTTGACAATGTGTTTTAGCATAATGATAAACAATCACTGTCTTCCTCTTCTTTCCGTGTTTGGCGTACTAGCAATACACGTGGCAGGTGTTTTGTTTTCAGGAGGCCTGGCAGGCATGGGTGGGTGTACACCGGTGTACAGTTAATAGGAATATTATTTATGCAGCATCTGTGAAAGTGAATAGAGCTCTCTAATTTTCTCTGAGCATCCGGAACAAATAAACTGCACATTACGCATTTACTAAAAAAAAAAAAACAGAGGCTAATCACCCGTGAGAGACACCTGGCTGTTTGTCAGATCAGTTTGTAGGTGGGAGGGGGGCACGCTATAGGAGGGTGTGGAAAATCTTGCGTTTGGCATATTTGACAAATTCGGATGTTTTCCTCGTCACTGTGTAGGAAGACTGCAGTTGGTATAGGTGATGTCATTCGTCAGCTTCCACAGAGTGAATTAAGGCGAGGGCTCCGTCTGTATGGCAGCAGTAACGCCTCACAGATGAGGCATGACATCATTTCCTGCTAATGCTGCATCTTCTTGTCAAGTAATATGCCTCTACTTTAACATCAGCAATTACTGCAAATATGCAATTTGCATTATGATATCTGTGTAAAATCTAATCTGCCATGGCCCTATAGTTTCTGTTTTAAACATTTCT